GGCCAAACATCCACCGCGCTCCAGTCGAGCCGGCGCACTCGGACGAGTCCTCCCACGCCATTCGCGTCTGCGTTGTTGGCCGAGTTGCGCAGAGATGCGGTGTGGGCATCCGTGCAAAAGACGGCCCGTGCTCCCGCGAGGCAAGCGGCGGCCGAGGTGAGACCGCAGCCCGCGCCGAGGTCGAGCACGACCGCGCCGTCGAGCAGCTGCGCGCTCTCACGCGCAAACAGGTGGTCGCACAGCAGCAGCGCGCCGCGCCAGACCTGCAGCCCCACGTCAGAAAGCGGGGTGGCCAGCGCGTGGCAGATCCGGAGCCGCCCGCGACCAGGCGTCGCCAGCTTTCGACGCTTGCGGCGAGCGCACAAGAGGTCTCCATCCTCGTCGACGGCCGCAGTTGGCTCGTGGGCGTCGTCGGAGGAGGAGGCCGCGTCCGCAGCCTCTGCAAAAGGAAACACGGTCTCACACGGCAAATCGCAACCAGCGTCGCTGCAGTCAGCCCGGAGATGCACGTCGGAGAGGTGGAGGTCGGCGTCCGTGCCCATATACGTCTACCCTAAGTTTCTCCGAGACCTCGGGAGCGGGCAGGTATTCACACCTCGGCAGTGTGGGCAGGGCAGGGCAGGGCAGTGTGGGTTTCACACCCGGGGCAGGTAGGGGATCGGGCAGGGCAGGGCAGGGCAGTTGTGCGGCAGTATGCGGGCAGGGCAGTACGGCAGGGCAGGGCAGGGCAGTTGGGGTCATAATTGCAGGGCTGAGATTCGGGATCTCAGGTGGTGAAAAAAAAGAGGAGACAATTGCTGTGAACATGCAATTTAGATAACAATCTCAATGAGATGTGTGAAGAGGACGGCCGATCGACGAATTACACGCGCGAGCTGGCGAGCTCATGTGCATCTCAACCGAATCTCAGGGGGGCGCCGTGTGTATAACGGTCGCGTGACACTGCGCTACGCCATGTCGTCTTCCGTCTCGGAGTCGTCGCGCAGCGGCCCGCCCGGGTTGACGACGTTCACGGTGACGCCGACAGGGATGGTCATGGCCGCCCGCTCGAGCTCCGCGACTCGGTGGGTGAGGCGGCGCATCCCGTAGCCGGGCGCCCGACGGGTCCCCACGCCCCCTGGCGGAGGCTGGTAGTTGTTGAAGGTTTGGTTGAAGACCTGGACCTCGAGGGCCTCGACGCGGCCCTGGAGGCACTCTCGGTTGTGCTCGATGGCCGCGAGCCGACTCTCGACGGCCGCGAGCCGACTCTCGGTCATCTCGTCCCGTTGGATCCCCACGCGGTGCATCTCCAGCTGGAGCTTGACCTGCTTTTGCAGGCGGTCGTACCCAGGCGGGCCGGCGGTCTGCTGCGGCGGCGGCGACTTCATATACACACGCACCAAGTCTACCTAGGAGCGTATCAGACAAGGTAGTGTACGAACAAAGAATGGTACGCGCGCGCAACACGTGCGCGTGTGCAGGTGTGCTGTGTGGTGCACGCCCTCCGAGCGGGGCGGGGTCTGCCCGTCGGGTTGTCTCCCTATATCCAGGACTAGTGTGGGGCCTGCGGCGACGGATCCCTAGTGCAGCCCTAGTGGCCTCTCTCTCAAGCCTGTGTTATCTTCAAGTAAGGGGTAACTCACTGATCCTCCACCGGATCCGACTTTCGACAGTGCTGGCAAACCGCATCGCGCAGCCGCACGGAGTCTCCGACAACCACGCACAGCCTCACGCTCACTGTGGTTGAGACTTTCATGCACATGCGCACTCGCAGGTCAGGGTCTCTGGCCACATGCGAAAGGAAAGGCTCATCAAACGGATTCGTTTGCACGCCGTGCAGAAGTTGGTGAGGTATGAGCCGTGGAGAGATTCGCTGCCGTCCCTCTGCTGTCGAAGAAACTCGAACGGCGCGTGGCTGCCCGCATCTTTGATTTGCTGTGTGAGTGTTGAGGTGATGCGAGCGCGCGTGCGCGCGGCGCGCGTGCCGTTTTGGGTCTCTTTTATACCAGTGATGAAATGTAAACCGACTTACCACGCGCGCACGCGCGCGCGCCGTGCTCGTCGACTCTCTCGCACCCGCCCCGAGCCACACCCCTCACGAGATAGGCGGCTGCGACCCTGAGAGTGCGCAGCGGTGCCGCTGGCGTGCTCACCACGTCCATCATGCCTGTATCATTCCTGCACGCACTGCCCGGTCTGGTCGGGGCGTGGGGCAAGATCTGGCATGGCGGCGCGCTTGAACTGAGCGCCTTCGATCGTCTCGCGGCGACTGCTCGCAGGCCGGGCGGCCAGAAACTGTGCCGCTCAGCCAGTCCCCGGGGCCTGACGGTCCAATGTTTCCCTCAAGAGTACTTCTCCCCTACCCCCCCCCCCTTCCACTTTAGATGTGTCGGACCATACTTCTCATTTACAAGGCTGTGGTTCGGGAGGATGTAGCGATGTATAAAAGGAGAGCGGTTGCACACAAAGCAAACAGCCGGGAAGGACTTCGGCCCGACGGATGGGACTGTTCAGCTGTTCACAGCCACATGTTATTGAGTGAGAAGAAAATACGTCCTATGGCGCTGTGCGCTGGTCTGTGAGAGGTTGAGGTGCGAGCCCTGGAGGCCCTGGCTGGGGATGGGGTGAAACTACACACTCTCTGGGACAAGCAAGTCTCCTCTCTCTGTCTGGGATCGGAGAGGGGTGAAAGGGAAAGCTCCTGAGTCGGGCAGCTTGTGAGCGCTGTCAGAGCGGTGTTTCGACACCGATATCGTTCAAGGAGAACGCTGATTCAAAATCCGCTGTTCACGCTTCACAGGTAAGTGTAAGTGGAGCAGCTGAGTAGATACAGCGAATCCTTTGTGTTCACACCTGCAAGAGCAGGTGTGAACCGATTTCGGCCAAAAGGATTCTTTTTCCTTCGCGGCAACGCGATGGCGGCAAGACCTCTCTGCGCGCCCGCCCTCGCCACGCCGAAGACCAACCGACGTCGGACCGCGGTGAGACCGCGCCGCCCCCCGCGCCCGCCCGCGCCCGCAGCGTGAACACATACGCGCGTCCCTCGCCGCACGGAAACATACGCGCCAGCCGCGCAGCAGCCTCACATGCAGCGCCGACCGCATGCTCGCGCCCTGGGCCGCCGACGACCCGGTCGGGCGGGCTGCGCGGCCGCCGTACACCATCAGGCAGGCGCGCGACCACCCGCAGCACGCCGCAGCCCACCGCGCAGCCCTGCCAGCCAAGCCTGCGCTCCCAGCTGCACAAACAGGGCGCACAACAGAGCACAGCGCACAGCACACACCGGCGGCGCGCGCGCAGCACACACAGACGCGCGCGCGACCGCAGCACGCACACGTACACAGCACGCGCGCGTCGCACGCCAGCGCAGCGCCGCACACAGAGCACACTTGCCCACATCAGCAGCAGCCAGCCTGCCACAATCCTCATCTCACACACGCGCGCACAC